AATATAATATAGTTTATATCAATTGCGACTTCTATGAAGGTGCAACATGAAAGAATTATTGCTTGAATTACGAAGAAAATGAAAATGTTGAAAAGCGACAACGAATGCGAATAACGAGTTAATTCATTTTTCCTGGTTAACAGGTTAAAAAATTAAATTAGAATATTCACGGCTTCAAATTTAGTTTCACTGCTTCCTGACGTATGACAGAAATAAGTTCTTGATTTATTAAAAATATAAACCTGAGACCTGCAATCTGAAAAAGAACGAAATATTTTTAAAATAGAAATATTGTTAACGAACTATTTTATAATTAATTTTGATCTTTTTGCTGTGACGCACTTAAATTAAAACTTAGAGACAATTTATTAAGAAATATTCACACAACGATTACTAATTATATATTGAATTCTTTTAAAAATTATACGTATTTTAAACAAAATTGCAGAAATGATTACTAAAACTTTCCGTGTTGTTATTTTACATAATATCTAACCATTATACGTATACTAATCAGTGATTTTTTAGATTAATATAATCGGCATTCACAACAGAAAGTTATCTGATATAAAATACTATAAGTGAAATATGAATACCTCTATTACACTATTATTATTAAGTTTCATTTTATTTCCAGCAAGTATAGGCCTACTGTCCACAAAAATAGGTCGCTTTCCTTCTGAAGAAAGAAAGAAGTCTCCGTTATTTCTTAAACGAATTGTTCCTTGTCTACGAGAAACTTTCCAGGCAGGTCCTTCCAATGTCAAATCTACGTCTACATTGTGGTCTTTTGCTGAACGACCTACAGTAATCTAAGAATAAAAAAAAATAAAACATAAATTTATGAGCTATGTAAGAAGTACATTTTAATAAAATCTATAAAATATACATAATATCTCCAAAGAAATAGTACTTCATATAAATTATTCAAACATATATACTTCTTGAAATAACTTCTTCATTTTAAATATTACGAGGAAATGTATAATATAAAAGCTTCCCTAGTTAGTATTCAAAAAGTAATAGTAATCATTAATTGCTGTAACAAATGAATGCAGGTGGTTTATCATGGATACAGAGGAGTTAATTATTTTCTTGTAACGTTAAAAATGAAAGAGTTATTATAAAATGCTAAACCATGTGTATTGAAATAAAATATTACTAGTAATAATTTTTATTTATTCTGTAATTACCTCTCGTGACCTCATTAAATATCTAACAAGTCTTCCTCTAAGTATTGCTAAAGTTTGATTATCAAAATCTGGTGGATTTACTCCTGTTACACTGTCAACTAAAACCTGCCACCTACTTAGTTCGTTTTCTAACACTCTTATTTCTCTTTTATTTCTTCTATCAGCTGCAACCAGTTCCGCATCCACAAACTCATCCTTCTGTTCCAGTAACTCTGTGTCATTGATCATTTCTTCCGCATCAGAAAAATTAAGAACATGTTCACCACGGGGTAAACTTTGTGCAGTTTGATCAGGAAGAAGGTGATACTGTTTCATTAACTGCCAATGAGCTAATAAAGCTTTAGCAGTTCTTGCTGAGTAAAATGTGTGTGCATTTGCTTCAAGCAGTTCCTGAAAGACTTCTAATGTTGGTTGAGAAGTCTGAAAAAACATAAATAGTATAAAATATAAATAAACTGAAAATTTGAAAGATGCACATTTCTGATGAACACATGATCTTGAGAGTATATAGATACAGACTTAAGTAAGGTATTATGAACTGAAAGATTGACTAAGGTTCTTAAATGCATCAAAATGAATATCTGAACAACATGAAAATAATATCATCTGTCAGTACATTTTATATTTTTTATATATGAAATAAATATTTTATTTTATTTTTAATCAAACAAAACTCTAAGTAAAGCATTAATATCAATCTCAATAAAGATGCCCTAAACTATAGTTTTCTCAAACTAAACAAAATTTCATTACCGATTTTACAGTACCAAGAAGATCTTCTTCTGCTTTACTGTATAAAGTTCTTGCTTGTACACTAGCAATTAATTCTGGATGTAAATTACGCATGGCTTGTACTGCCACTCTTGAAACTGCACTATCATATAATAGAGCATACCACCTCTGCTGTATTTCTTGCAATGTGAACCGACATGAAAATTTTGTACCTCTGTGAACCTGTTTTATGAAATAATTGCTTACAATAGAAAAATAGAGTAAAAAATTACAAACAATTTATATATATTTAATAAAATACAAATAAATACCATTCTCAAATCATTTGTCTGCTGTACGCCAGTAATTAATGCTAAATCATCTGTAGGTTTCCATCTTCCCAAATCTTTCGTAGCATTTACAGAATGTGAGTGGTTTTTATTCTTTTTGTTTTTTCTGCCAGGAGCATTTGAACCCCCTGGTCTACTTGTTCGTCGATTGCATCTATCTGGATGAGATACATTTGCAGAAATTGGAATGGGACTTGGTACATTTTGTTGTGGAAGACATTCCATTGGAGCAGTAGAAATTGAAACAGTTCTAGACCTGGAGGCAGACTTTGCACTCGTAGCAGGTGGTTGTAAGTTGAATGTTGTTTCAACAAGCTCATCATCAAACTTTCTGCGTTTTATTGTACGTGAAGAACTATAATTTTAATAACAATACCATATAATTATCAGCACTCTTACATATTATATAAATAATATTAGAGCACTAATAATTAGATAGAGAAATATCTACTTTAAAATATTTCATATTTTGATTAATTTCTTTATATTAATATACAAGATAATTTGTATAACTAGAATAAAGTATATTATCTCTTGTCTAATTACAATCAGAAAGAATTTTTAAATAAGAAGATAAATAGAAAACAACACTTTCAAGATTCACATTTCTATTGTACAACATGTGTATAGAATATCACTTTACATATGGGGAGTACAATAGAAGCAAATTCAACATACTAAAATAAGCTCAAGAGTTTGTATGAACATATATCCGGGGTGATTTTGTCTTCAAGTTACAATATATTTTATGTATAAACAAATGATAAAAAATGTTTCATTTCAA